CGCCACTCTCGGTACGACGACCACCTATTACCGGGGATCGTGGGTGAGAAATATGATTGAGTGAGTGTCTCGGGCAACCCCCCGGGGACGGCATCATAGTTAATTTGGTAGGTTCTTACCTGTGGGTTGATAGAGACGGAATAGGGGTAACGTTGGTATTGGATCCCGTGGGTGGATGCATCTTCGGGATAATCATGCAAAGCTTTGGTATGGAAAGGAGCATTTGGCAGCACGCCCTGAAGCCCAGTTCGACTGCCGAACGGGCCTTGAAATCTTCGCTACACAGTATTTTGCTTGCACCTTTAGACAGCACCACTGGTTCCGGGAAATATTATTTTCCGCAAAGATAGCAGGATTCCCCTTTACCATTCAAAACCGACATACCCATCACCAAAGGACAGCAGTGCAAACCCTCTCTCGCCTCTCAGAATAGAACCATTCTCGATTATCGTGTCGGATGGTTGCGTGTTTACTGGGGAAGCACAATAAACGCCATCGGCGCCAGAGCTCAACCGCAATACCTCCACCAGGAGAAACTTGAATCCCCCATGGGCCCAAGCTCAAGTATTCTTGGAATAAATATGATGAGTTTGTGTTCCGGACAAGAACCTGGAGTGCGGGCGCTCGAGCTGTTTTGATTTAGAAAGTTTGGGCGAAATGATTAAAGCTGACATAAGGTGATGGACTGCCAAACCCCCCGATGCAAGGAAGGTTAGCTCACTCAGAGAATACAGTCTCAACCCTCCCGCTTTAATTGAGTCTCCAAAATCTTCTCGCGAACTCTTCGTCCAGTTCAGGACTCTTCATCATTCACTGTCTCTCAAGCAATTACTAATTTCCAAGTTGAATATTATATCAGACATACTGGCCACCGTGGGGTGGGTGTCTCACGGAGCGCCCAGGCTTTAAGCAAGCGCTCTGGTTTCGGCCGTAGGGTGCGTTTCATAGCTTCTCACTCGACCAAACTGTAAGCCCCCTTTTATCCACCCTTAAATTGGCGCGCATCTGTAACCCCCCCCCCAATGCCACCATACCTTGCTTACAGCTGATCCTACCTTTTTTTCTCAACATGAATATTCCGGCTGTGATTATCTCACACGAAGGGGACCTGTCGTTAACTATGAGTAACCAATGTTTACAATTTCTCTTTTCTTGAGAATGAATCTTCTATAGTGCTTTCAATGCTCAATAATAAGGTATGGTTATCGTTAATTTTTATTCATCTCGGGCTAAAAAAATTCCAAATCCCCGTCAGATGGATAAGCATCTGTTCCCACAGTAATATTACATGAAATACCTAGCTGGTGCAGTGGCCGAGATGTCAAGAACCAATTAACCCCTCTGTGCAGTTCGCAGGAGTCCAGGAGTTCAACTACCCGCAGTAGGAGTTATTATTGAACAATCCGTCATGTAGGTTGGGAGAGTAGAGAAACCCTGCCATATGGGAACTAGGAGACTGAAGACCTTGGTCTCCTTAATAAGGCTGTAGCGCAAATCAGACCTTCTGCGAGGTGGTAGAATCCCACTCTAGACCATACCCCTATCATAAGAGTAAGGTCAGCGTTCGGCGGGGCAGCAGAAAGAGAGAAAGAAGAAGAAAAGAACCTTCCAAGACTTTTTTCCTCCTTCTTCCCTGGTTTGCAATAGCTATCTTGAATTCTCGATGGGATACGGTAGACTCTAGTACTAACACATCTCAACAGATCTATGATGGTCACCATTTACCACCAAACCACCAAACCGCCCTTTCACCATTGTCCGCCTCAATTATTTTCTAAAAATGGGGCTCAGACACGAGTAGTTACTGCGAGTCTACAAATAAAAGACCCAAGATCAATTCAATGCTGTGATAGTTTCGGCCAAGCTCCAGGTTCTGCAAGAAGTTGCCTAAGTATCATGCTTATTATTCGGAACAGTGCCAAGTGGTTGGTGCTACTTGAGCCCTGCGGGGGAAGTGATTGAGACGCAATTCTTTCCCAATCGTAGCCCCTTATCATCTCTTCACACGGAATCCTGTGACTCGCGAAAAGGGATATCCGGCATTACCAAGAATGAACTTCGTTCATGGCATTACCTTTGGAAACTAGTGGATGGAACTCACTGGCGGCAAAAGTTGCGGAAATTAACCTACCCGACAAGAAAAATCCTGCGAAGTATCATACTGTCAGAAATGCCGAAGAGGGGGTTATCCTCTGGAGTGAAGTTTTTGTTTCAATATTTTCTTTGTGTAGTCCTCGGTAGTATCTTTAAAACGATTACCCGGGACATCACTCGTTGCCACTTTGCAACACTGCTGCTCGCTAACGACGGGATCCCAATGCTCAGCGGGGGGGGTGTATCACAGTTACGACTGAAATATCAGCAATGAGAAGAAGAAGAAAAGACCCCAGTTTTATGGTTTTGACCCAAGCTGGAAGGATACAAACGGAAGAGCGCTAAAGGCATCAAACCATTTCTCATTTACCGCGACCTGGTCCAGGGAATCGTGTCCCACCTTTCATACCTATCGTCACGAGTGCCGGGGCAACAAGGCTCCTGACTGTGGGCAATTACGAGGTAATTTCTTGTGAAGATTGGCCACAGGGTGTCTAGGCCCTGACTGGTGCTGGTTGATATCATGCGCCCCTTTTTGTGGATTCCACGATGCATGAGGAGAGGGTCCAAAAGGTTGTGATGGGAAATGGGCCACTTCCTCCTTTAGACACGCACTACTGTTTTAGGTAATGGGATTCTTGGAAAACACCTGGCAGATGCCTGAGTCTTTTTACCGCGACTTGTTGCAGTGTTTAACAAGCTTAATATTCATACCTGGCTTTGGGGAGACACATTAGTCTTGCAAACCGATCAATGGTGAAAAGGTGGTTTGATGGTAAATAGCCACGCCCACAGATGAATGGATTCTTTACGGAATTCCTGGTTTGCAATTGCTTGCCCGGTTCAAAGGGCTCAAGAAAACCCTTGCTTTTCTTCTTCTGTTACCCCACCGGCCGTAGACTTCACGCCTCGGTGTAAGGCTCGGAGTCTGATTCTATACCACTTTGTACCGGCATGATATCATATGATACTAGTTTCTCCCTGCAGCCCTATTGAGGAAGGCTAAGGTTTTCAATGCGCCAGCACCTATAGGACAGGGTTTACCTTTTTTCCTCCGAGATGGGTCGTTTAATGGCTTAACTTGAGCAGTGGAATTGAAACTCAAGGTCTCCTGTTGATAGCCCAGCGATTAACTAGTTCTTGACATCTTAGGTACTGTTCTACCAAGGCGTTCCGCGCAGGATTGATTACCTTGGGAGTAAATACTTATCCTGCCAAGAAGTGGGTTTGTATTATTATTATTTTCTTTTCCGTCAAATGCTAAGCTCAAATACTTATATTTTTGTTCATAAATTATTATAATTTTATTATAGGAACAGATACCCTCTTGCTACTAGAGAGATCATACATACTGATCACTGATTGGCAGCAACACGACCCCATTGAGTTTAGGGGAATAATCACCTACGGGATATGAATGGCAAAGGAAAACGTAGGCTTGGCTGGGAGGGAGAGAGAGAGAGGTATCTGGACAGGGTTTGAACTGGCCCCGTGCATCGGTACCCGTAAAACATAGTACTGCTACAGGTATCATACTATATATCGCTAACTTGTGACGATCCCGCTCACAGCATTACTCCCGATTTTAGTGTCCGACGCAGCAGGTGTTCCGGGGGTATTCCCGTTCTCCCGGGAGAAACATACCGTAAGAACTCGGCCTCAAAAAAGGGAGGCCAAAATAAGGTGAAGAAAAATAGAAACCGCGTAAATCCGGAAATCATTCCAAAACCAGAAGCTTTTATGGATTATCACACAACACTTATGGTCCAACATTTTCTTTTCTTTCTTTAGACTAGAGTGTTGTTTGATGATCCTCGAAAGCTACTAATTTGGCATGGTTTCCGGATTTACGCAGTTTCTGTTCTTCCTCACCTTATTTTAACCTCCCTTTTTTGAGGATCCAATTATTCGAGTTCTTGCGGGCACTGGATCTTCTAATTTCTTTTTTTTTTTTAAAAAAAAAAAACCCAAGATCTCGAGTGACGTGTTGTGAATAGCTGCTCCGAAGGGCCAAGATAGTCCATCATAATAATTATTATCGTACCGTTCAGATTGGATATGATATGATACTCGGCCTGCAACCTAAGCTCCAGGTTCCAACAAACCTCACTATTCGTACATTCCCCATTTCAGCATATATATATATCCTCGGCGGGAGTGAAACCCTGGAAATCAAGAAACCATAGACCTTGTGTTGATCTAGGGAGGTATCATACCAGTTTATACAATATGGATTGATATCCAAGCGGACCCCTTCAGCAAATATCCCCTTCGCATCGCCCCACCCCTCCACCTCGCTCACGGCAAACAGGACTGTGCTCGCTCGCAAAACGCCAAATCCACCCGCTCTCCGCCCCCCCCCCCCAAAAAAAAGGGGGGCTACAGATGTCAGTCTATTCTGCATTCAATTTCTCCCCCGGGCTTACTGGGAAATCTACCAAGTGTTAGCCCCTGGTACTTATGAATTGTCACAATCCATGCCTGACTATCGTACCCCTGTAGCATCCCTAGGAAGATCACCCGCTCTGGGGCGGTGCCTTGCTACAGTTGTCTATTCCTACTGGGACAAAAGCTAGTGAAGGATACAGTCCTCCATAGTCTAAACAATACCCCTAACTAACCCTACTAAACCACCGACAAGTTCTTGACTAACTTGTGGTGGCTCGGAGATACCACTGGCAGCGAAGCCTAACCTTACTGTCAAGCTTTGCGGCACTCCTTTAACCTCACTTCTCTCCCCGGAAGCTCCTATCGGATAACGAACCGATAGGCAGAACGTTTCTTTTTTTTTTTAGAAAAAAAAAAAAAAACTCTTATTGCCCTCCCCAAACAGCGCTAGCATTTCCCAGCTAGAGCATATGTGAGAGAGGGCTTATGGGGCGTTTGGACTCCGCCCAGTACTCAGGTGTTATATCAGACCTCGGAGTATTCTGTCATACTCAACTACAGGTTGTCGCTGGTTGGTTAGCTATCTATGGAATGGAGGTGTCTAGAATTGATATAGTGCCGAGTTGTCGAACCATAACTGATGAGGGGAGGGATGCTCGTTGGGTATCGCTCGGGTTGAGAGTTGATTGGAGGATTGTTCATCTTGGGTGGTTTGCAGTTTACTACTACTGATCTAGAGAGCGGTGGTAAGGGGGTTCGTGAGGGTTTTTTTTTTTTGTGATTAGAGAGCCACTGGGCGCTGGGCGCTGCTGGGTATAACTCTTCGGTTGGTGGTTGTTAGGGTAAGTCTTCAGCAGTGTTATAAAGTTGTGGCGCTCAGGGCGCCCTCACGAATTCAAATCAGCTCTCTAAACTATATCGTGACTGTCGCAGAAACCGCCATGTAGTTTCGAAATCACGGTTTATCAAATGAAAACCCCAAGGGTTGAATGTTTCGACCTGGGTCACCAGTAGGATATCTCCATTCCCCGAAACCGTACGCCCAATTCCAAATCTATACATTTGGGACGTAAAGAGCATTAAAATATAGACATCGCAGTGTCCCACTTCCCACTCCCCCTCAACACTTCTGCCACCACCACCACCATTGGATACCATACCAGCATTCACCCTTACAGCTTATGCTTCTTCTGCCCACTCGTGATCCTCGCCTTTAGCCCATCAGCTACACACCCACCACCAAGGAAAGTAGGGAAACTAGAGGGGGTGAACTCACAAACTCGTTCTGTGGGACCCCGCTCAGAAATCTCTCCACGCCCGCGAACGCCTCCCGAACACTCGCGCTCTCAAGATCCTTCTTCATACCATCCCTCATCAACTTTTTAACACCAAGCATACTCTCATGAACTAGATGGTCTCCCATAGCATCATTCACGAACTCCAAAACCCTGTCGCGGAAGCCTTCTTCTGGGAAAATCTTATTGACGAAACCGCAGGCGATGAGGTCGGCGGCGGGAATACGCTTGGAGAGGATCAGCGCTTCGTGTGCTTTTGCCACGCCCATCCTCCGGAGGAACATGTAACTGGACCCGCCCTCGGCGACGAGGCCGAGGGAGGTGAAGGGAGTTAGGATGAAGGTTTTCTCCGTAGCGCTGGGGGAAAGGTAAGCTTTGGCTAAGGTGGGAGGAGAGAGGGAAGGGGATGGAAGGTTACTAGATGAAGTCTGCCATAGCTACAAGCGCAGCAGAGAGACCAACAGCAGGACCGTTAAGCGCCACGACGAGAATCTTTGGGTGCTCGAAGAATGCCTTGGTAACCTCCATATTGTTCGCCGCGACTACGCCCATCCGTCAGCCTCCCTCGCCTCCATCGCTCAGGCCTAAAGTCTGTCCACAACAACATACGTCGCCTCAAATAGTGTTTCCGCTCATTATCGTCCCTCCCTTCACCAAGCACCGAAGACAAGTCTACTCCACTACACATTTAATCCCTCCGTCAGTCAGCCAGGCAACAAGGCATCATACGCCCAACCGCACTATAACACTAAACAGGGGACTCACGCTGAAAAGTACCGCCCCGTTCCCGTCAACACCGTTATTGTAACTTCCTCCATGGCGGCTACCTTGTGCATTACCTGCGCGAGGCCGAAGTATAGGTCCCCGGTCAGGGCATTGAGTTTCTTGGGCTGGTTGAGGGTGATGAGGGCGACATTCTATCATTTGCCCCCGACGTTAGCTCTACCATGCGCTACGGTGTGGCAGGTCGATGTATGACAGCTCTACCTTCTTGACTTCGAGCAAAATGGGCTCTGACATAGCTTCGTCCTTCGGTGTGTACTGTACAGTATTGAAGTGTAATGTAGAGAGTGTCTTAATTGATGGCTTGTAGAGAACACTGGGGACTGCAGTAATGGGGTGGCGTGGGGTTGTATGGGACACCTTCTATCGTACCCCAGCGAAGAAGGTTTCCCCCAGTCGCTCTTGTACGTACTTTACCGCGTCTTAACTGGCAGGGGACCGAGGTTCAAAATTTAATGAAAGTTATCTCGGTTGCTTACTCATCCGGTATGGTTGACACGTGCTTTTTCTGTTCCGAGGTTTTTTTTATTAGCAACCATGGATACAGCAGGAACGGTCGACACAGCGGATAGACTGTGTACAGAATAAAATTATGGGAAATCTCCGGAGAATCTTTGGAGGGGATTAGTGTATCATACTATCCTTTCACTTCTAGCACTCCAGCTATTCTCCTAGGTATAGACTTTTGAACCTTTTCCAAAAAGCTATTCTACCAATACTACTTGCTCCAATGTTAGGGAAAGTACTTGCAAGCCATCTCTTCAGAACATCTGTGCTCTATTTTGACTAATGAATATCAGGAAAGTGCTAGTACAGTACAACCTTTTATTAAACCTTTCCTAACAACTTGAATATCCAATGAGATTGTTACCAGACAAACAGGCAGGCTATTCCACAGTCTCCATGTCGTCTTCCCTAAACTAATCTATCCTACTTCCCATAACATAAATCTCTACACTAACCTGCTGAAAAACAGAATCAACAATTATGTTCTCAACTTCCTTCAAAGAATCTATTAAATTATTCTCTCAAACCTGAATACAAGCCTATCTTCTAATATTCTCCTCAAATATTATATCAGACTATATCATACTTATTCCAATCTCCAAAAAAAAAGCTCTTTAAAATCCTCTACTAAATATATATACTGAGATTATATTCTTCAAGTCATTCCTTATCCATTCTTCATACCCCTTAGTTTAGACAATCTGCTGGATGATAAGTCTTTCTTTCGAAAGTGTCCACTTTCTTACCATGGCAGCCCTAGATGTATTTATTAATTATTCCGAATTTCAGGTTACCAGTATCATAAATGAGGGATTTTTAATATAATTCCTCATCTCATATCACTTGCAAAGGTTTTGAATTATGAATACAGGGTGGCAAAAATGCTTGAAAATGTGAGTAGTTTTTCGACTTGAGCCTAATACTTTGTCAGAGCTTGGTGACAAAATTCGCTGACCCCCCCACCAAGGTCACAACGGTTATCACCACACCATAAGGCCAAAACAAAGTATTCCAATTCCACATCATACAGTATAATACTATACATGTTAAAGATAATTACTATCGTGTCAGCATACCTCCTCGCTCCCTACATTCCTTCAATCTCACAGCCATGCTATTAATTAACGGGTTCCAATCATATAGTTTCAGCCTGTCCCATTCCTCCTACACCGCTTTGCACATCTCAGTATCAGTTCCGGGGAAATGGCACCCTGCTTTGATACGCTGCTTTATAGTTCGCCATACATTCTCAATAGGATTGAGATCGGGTGAAGAAGTAGGTCGTTTGTAAAGTAGAATCCCCAATTCTTGCTTTGCCTCTACCAAGCCATATTTGGTCCCATGCTACGGTGTCTGATCTTCGACAAATTCAGCCTCCATAGATGCCTTATAGCTGGTTGGAGAATTGCCAAACACTGGTGCAATGATGGGCTGGAGGACTTGTTCAAGGCAGTTCTTCATCGTGATACCTTGCTTCCCTGTACACTATAGAAAGACCAATTCAGACTTCCAATTGTAGCTTATGGAACCCCATATCGCCACCGATGCTCGGCCACTCTGGAAAGTAAACTGAATGCAATCCTTATGGTAGTATTCAGTGGAGAGTCTCATGACCCATGCAGAGCCTCAGCAAGAGGTATCAAATGTTAACTCATCAGAATAGATGTGTTGCTGCCACTAACTCTTTGACTTGTCAGCATGCTCGATTGAGTAACCTAGTGGAGCTTTTTGGTTATCGCGATTGATGAAAGGCTTCTTGCATGCTTTGCAGCAGGAATAGCCTTCGGCCTCAAGTGTGCATTGAATTGTGCGTCCTGAAACCCCCAATCCAGTATCTTGCCCCAATTTTTGCCAGCACAGTCTTCAGCCCTCCCAATTACGTCTGAGGGTATATATCAAATGGCAGATATCATGCTCTGTGAGGAGTGGTGGCCGGCCAGAGTGATGGTGGGGTTGTCGCTGATGTGGATCTTTTTCCCACGCCCAAATTGTTGATTGTGGAACCCCGGTACTTCACTCAATTTCATGCTTTGTGTTGCCAGAATCTAGGAGAGTGAGAACTCTACTACAGACTGGTGTAGTCCATTCACCAGTAGGGCTTGTTTTGGTGGGCGTTGTAGGAGGTTCTGTCATGGTGGTTTTGCTGTGCAATGCTTGGCATCTGGCCGGGGGGTCAGCGAATTTTGTCGCCAATATCGTCCCTTCTCAATGTCTGATAGGAAGCCAGACAAACACTGTTGTTGGATACCGCAATTGACTGATAAAGATGCGGTCACTGCTGTTGTTTCCATAAGCGCCGATCAGCCCGGGCTTTTTGTCCTAACATTATACTTCAAAACCACCACCACACAGTAGTCTACTCTGCTGACCTCCCGGCGAATATTGCAATTTATGATATAACCTACTTGATTCAATATATTACTTACCCCAGACGGCCCCGGTAGGGCAGAGCCGTCAAGAACGCCATACCGGAGTTCTCCTATCAGTGGCCTAGAAGAGACCCAAATGTGTTGCCTATTGCACTCGTACAAACTATCGTGCGAGCAGGGTAGCGGATAGAATATCATCCCCGAGCTACTTAACCCAGACTGGGCTTCGGGGATCCGGGCTGTGGTCCCCATCCCGGGCAAAGGTTGAAGATACTTCTAAAGGTCCCCACTGAGGCTAGGTAACAGTTGTCTTCGTCAGAACATTTTTCTCGGCATTCCATCCCGAAGCCAACCATTGGCCTTCACCCAGCATCCCTGGTCAATTACACTTTCGAGGCAACGCTTGATCAAGGTTATCATTCTGATTCATCCACGAGTGACCATTCATGAAGGGAAGATTGTTCTATGGAGGACGGCAGCAAAGTTCATATTGGTACTACAAAACGGAGAGGAGTAATGGAGAAGGCTATCATCCTCAATGCCTACCCCAGAGAAACATGGCCCACACCGAACCCTTTACCCCGAATTCGCCAAAGTCTCCGCAAGGTGATCGCGAGGAGCTTCGCCAGCTCGTTTGTGGCTCAGCTTATCCTTCTCCTTTGGTGACGCTGCGCCCTTGTGTCATTTCTTCTCACTGTGCTCCCTTTTGCTAAATTTTATAAAAGCGACGACAAAAACTGGTTTCCGTTAGCCCGTACAAACTGGCATAGCGGACATGAATAGATTGACACTTACCTGCTAGGGCGCCAATAGCAATGAGCCCACGGCGGGTAGTGGTCCATCTCAGTTTCTCGATCTCGGATCTCACATCCGAATTAATCAAGATAGTGATTTTATAATTCAGCTCCTGGATCTATCCGCCAAACATCACCCGACATGAGCTCCCCTCCCGATGCGAAAAGGAACGACAGATGCTGACCTTATTTTCCATCGCCCTCTGCTCAGCTCTTGTGACCATTTTCCTATCATTGAATAGCCCGTTCAGCTCATCCTTCAAACTCATAATTTCCTCCAGAAACCGCTGGTTCAAAAGATCAAACTCCTGCTGTATGCTAGCACCCTCCACCCGAAGTTGGTCAATCTGTGTTTTACGTTCGTTTTGTATCCCATTTCTTAGTTCGCTGCAAGCAGCATGAAAGAGATACGAATCCTGTCAGAACTCCCACGGTCAGATTCTCAAATCTTTTGAGCCAACTGGTATTGGCGGCGGTAGAGCGGTTGCATACGTTCTCGACATTACTCTTGCTCACCAGATTTTCCCTAGCCACTTCCAAGTTATTGGACAACAACCCCCTAACTCCCTTCATGACTGTAACCGCTTGACCCTTAGTGAAGCCCGAGCTTTCCAGACCCTTTGCCAAGCCATAGGTATCGAAATGGTGGACCAACGGTGGAGGTGCAAGATGAGCAGGTTGTGGTTGACTCCCGTTCACCTCAACAGGCTTTCCACCTGCCCTTGGTTTTGTTGGAACCGTAGAGTCATCTATTGAAATGATTGGCGCTTCTGTCCCTTCTCCAGCGAGTCTGGGTATTGATATGCTTCCATCTTTCGGCCGTGTCTGATCCGGAGATTCTCTATTAGATTTAATATCCTTTTTTGGTGCATCGGCTATTGGAATAGGCTCCACAGCAGTGCCATGGCGGTACCTTAGGAAAGCCAATGATTTCTGAGATGAGCGAGGGAGAGAGAGTGTTACAAGACCTGGGAATGTAGGGCTTGGTAAGCGGAGGCGTTTGAGGAAAATTGGCGGGTATAAAAATGACAACCGGGATAGCGACATGGTGGCGGATCGGGTGACTCGCCAGGAGATTGAAGTGGAGGAGGAAATAATGTGAAACAGAATTTGCCAATGGCTGCCGGTGCGGCTCCTGATGCCAAGATTCACCTTAGGGCGCCATATCTAATCACTCATACGAGTACATCCGGGCTTCAATGCTTCCCTCCAAATTATAATACCGGTATGCCCCCGGAGGACATCGGACTACATCATTACTAGTATGATACCCGAGAACACAAATGGATATATGCTAATGGATGAACAACTAATTTATAATACCGGTATCCCGCTAGCTTGCTACAAAGGACAACACCATAGTAGAACATGAGAAGAACCAAACGCTATGGCAATGTTTTGCATTAATTGAAAACCAAACATCCATGACCCAAATCCAAAGCACCGCTCTCGGCCATAGCCCTAGCCATAGAACCCCCAGCGAGCCCGCCCGGCTCATGCACGCGGATAACTGCTACAATTACTGCATATATCTTCTCAGAACGATCTTAGCTTCATCCGGCAACTCGGCTTTAATCCAATTATCGACCTAGGGTGGCTTTTAGTAAATCAAGCTCCTTGCAAAAAGTGGGTATACGGGAAATTTATCATACTCTACCGCTATATTTTGAATTTCCTTCCTTAAGTCGTTCTCCAACCCATTTTTTCAAGTCACCAGTGTCAGGGAACAGGTCAATCGCTCTCTTCTTACAGGTATTAAGCCTAGTAAAGGTTGCACCAAAGCTTAGATCATCGATATCGGCCTCGTGGAGGTCGATCCCCCTATCGTCTTGGGTGGGTACCGGTGGGGCTTCAAGTAGTTTTAATAAGGCAACGACTGAACCTGGCCATGTTTTGTGATATGTAGTAGCTAGACCCTCTGAGAAGGCAACGAACTTTGTCAAACCAACAACAGCGACCTTTCGATCAGCTGGTCGTTGTAACTTTTGTGTATCAGGCAGAACCACAGCACCATAAAGTTGGCCGAAGATGCTATATCCCAGATGTATCAGCAGACGCCCAAACACTGTTCTGGCAACGGTTTTTCACACCCTGCTTGCACGGCATCGATAGCTCCCACAACAAAATCGGGCCCGGCGCCTCCCTTATCCCTAGCAGCGAGAAAGTAAAAGAACCTAGCAAACTTTTGGGACAAAGCCTCTGTTTTCGAGCCGTTTAGCCTAGTGAGTAGAATAATAAAAATATCCTTGACAAATGGCTGCAGAGCGGTCCTAAATACAAAATGTTAGACATAACCAGAGGTTGACAGAGGACCAGCGCATACAGTGGGAAATAAATGAAACATGCTTCTAGCAGCTCAAAAGCATGCACTTCGGTCAGTTTTGAGGCTACCAATTTCTGAAAAATGCCAAGGATTGCTGATAGTTGATTATTCTCCACAAAATGGGACGCCCCTCGAGCCATTATAGCCTGGAGCAAACGGACAAGAGCGGGAACATTTCCTCGTGATTCCCAGAGAGCCGGTGTGAGAAGAGGGGTCGTAAGGTCTTTATAGCGTTGGGGAAGGGGAACTGGGGCATTGCTTTCCAGGAGAAGAGCAAGTAATTGGAATACATAAGGGATGAACTCTACCCAAAAGTTAGCAAGGATGATTGGTACAAGACCGGTGAGACATACCCGTAACATCTTGACCAAGAATAGCCATGAAGGGATCATGAAGGGCATTTTCGAGACTTTCTGGCTGCCCAGGCGCAACAAACCTAAGAAAATTAGCCAAAAATGTACTGGCCGCGCTCGGAATAAGGGTAGGGAAACACCTAATTATTCCACCAAGACTCTCAAAGTGATAGTGAATAAACCTCGGGTTACTGGGATTCTTGCTGACTACACCTGTTATTTTGATAAGCCCTCCCAGAACGTATTCCACCAACGGTCCAGTAGCATCCCTAGAAACAATAATAACCCGCATTACACAGCGCATTAGATATTCATTCTCCTGAATCTTCTCGGGGGTAACGCCTTGCTCGATCAGCCTAAAGAGATTCTCAAAAAGGTCCTTTGCGTAAGGCCTCAAGTCTTCGGGGTGAAATAATGGCTCCCCATCAGAAGCCATCGCCAGCAAGCGCTCAACAGTAATCGCAGTATAGGTGTAAACAACATAATTCGGAGATCCGAGGTGCCTAGCGAGAAGAGGGAAAGCATCGGAAAGTTGTGACTTAGTCAATTGGCTGCGGAAGGTGTAGAGATACTTTATTGCATCAACCTTCAGAATCGGCTGGACATCCTCAAAAGGAGCGATAAGATCCGCTGCGATATGGTTCTGGAAGAATTCTACGACATCCACAAGGAGATTGGTATGCGTAACGCCCTTTCTCTCAGTTGTGCCCTTTGCAGCGATAGATGAGAACAGGTACAAGGCCGTGTCCTTAGATCTCCAGTTTGCTTTGGGGTTACTGTTGTAGTCTTGCAAGTAATGGTTAATGTATTTGTAAACAACTTCAGTGACAGTTTTGTCAAACTGCTCGAGGAGTTGGCGAAGAAAGTCCGTGGAAGCCCTTCTACGAGTATCGCTATCAGAGCCTTCAAGATCTCTTCGAATAAATTCGATTGGATCATCCTCAAACAATTCCTCATCAGAAGCTATAGCAGGGTCAATTTCGGAGAACAATCAAGATAAGAACAGTTTCGCAGAGGAGTAAACGAACTTCGTAAAGTCATATTGGGTAGGATGATCTTTTCAACAACTTGCTCCAATACTACCACCGCGCTAAAATTTTGAGCATGTTTACTTGACCTTGCTACAGCAGTCAAGAACTGCAAAGCTTTACTGACCAACTAGATGATTTAGCCAATATGAGCACTGACGGCCTTGGCTATTTGCTGTCTTTTCCGGGACAAAGAGGGTAATTTGATATACTTACAATGTCATATTTCGGCTCGGGCCCAGTGGTGGTTAAGAGCACCCATGTCGAGTTGACAAAATTCTGGAGCATCTCACCAAATACATCCTCGTACTTGGTAGTAAAGAGCTGGAGGAATTCACATATTCCAGCCTTGACTCGCTCTAACGGGCCCGATTCGTCGCCGTCATCAGTCACAAGAAGGGGACTGGTGAAAGTGAGATACTTGTGCAGTAGTCCCATAATTGTTGCGAGATTCTCTTCGAAATCTGGCGCAAGATCTTGGCAGTTAAGATCAAATGAAATCTTGATAATAAGGTTGAGTGTTTGGAAATAGCCATCCAAGGCAGGTTTATTATTTTGAGCTTGCGTTATTTGCTGGTCGGTAGCCTGGAAAACTGTCAGCAAGCTATTCAACCCAATCTGCACAATAAATCAACTCACCTCCATCAGTTTCAGAAACGGAGCCGTGAATTTTTGAAGAACATGATTGATTTCGGTGAACAGGTCGTCGGAACGGAAAAGCGGTCTCCAACGTTTGAAAATCGCATGCGCCACCTGAAGAACACCGTTGTTGACTTGTGCATTATCGGGGGTGAGTTTAGACACAAGATCCTAATATCACCGTAAGTTTCGAGTCGAAGGAGAGCAGAGTGAGTGGGGAATTAAACATCAATTAACGTATCCCAGCGTTGCCAAAAATCACTCTCCGCAATGATGCTGATGGCCTCTCCAAGCTGTACCTGCAAGGCTGGCGGAACAGTGATCATAAGCCCAACCAAATCTCGTTTGACCGCCACAACCTCACTCCCCGCCATCTTGTAGTGACCTTCCTCATCCTATACGCGGAAATTTTAATACGACGATCTTCCCACAATTTGCAGACAGGGGAACCTACAGTCCAATTCCTCCCAAGTAAGTTTTTGAAGTACAGAGCAGCCGCTAAACGAGTATTCGAAGCAAAGCTATCGGACGCAACAATCTGTAACAGCAGAGGAGCAAATCCTTCCTGGTTTTCACTGGCCCGCAGAGAGCTCTCAGCTACACAAAAAAACCATCATGTCAGCTCCCGTTCCGTTCTGTCATAAGGGGAATGAGTTGGTTGAGGCTCTGTATAGTAGCCGACAGCCCCGCAACAACATTGGACTACAATGGATCTACCTTGTTTGTTTTGAGAAGGGATCAATGAGGTGTCTAGAAGCTGAGCGAGAGTCTGAATATTCGCAGCCATAGCTCTGGGTGTAGAGGGATTTGGAGAAATAAAGTTTGGCGCAAGATGAAATTTGTGGAGAGTGGAAAACAGATGTAAATAGTGGGGGGAAGGTGGAATGGAAGAGGTGCACAAAAATAAATGATGGCAGAGGGCTGGAGCGACCAAACACGGGCCTAGCAACGAGCCTCCTCTTGGCATATCGGCAGGGAAAAAATAATTAAATTAAATTAAAGAAGATAATTTTACCGGTACTGTTATCATAATACCAGGCAGGCTCTTACTAAGAATAAAAAGTACAAGAGTCAAGCATTTAGTCATTGTAAAGTGACAGAATAGGTAGTGGACGTTCGTTTGGACAAAATGTCGGTACAAGCCAAGGAAAAACAGACTGGGTATATTCTGTAGGCCGAACTATGATACTGGCGATGTTTGTATTGCAAGTGCTTGTGTATCATTGGATTTAAGTTGACATCCCGTTACCGTACCATGACTAGATGACCGACCCTTGTATCGTACTGACAGGTCAATCAGAGCCATTGTCTTGTAACAACCCGTAAGAAGAGTACATAAAGGCACGCATGATCCCCTGGTGTTTTTAAGAGCACAGTAGCCCTAACTACACAATTCAATTAAAGGACATCATCATCGGGGAATCCTTGAGTTACCATACCTACTGAGTAAATATAATAATTATTATTCCATGCAATGTCACGATAACAATGTTACGTAGCACGCAGGCCCCTCTATACCTTCAATATCAGTATCATACCGATACTCACACCTTGGCTCTCGTGCTGACCGACAATTGCCTAGCTTTTCCTGCCCCTTTACTTCTCATCAGGTACAAGTACTGGTGCCCCGCGATTGAATAAAGGTAAAAAAAAGATGCTTTGTCACTTATGATACCTTCGTGGGTGACTGATCCTGGGCCGCTACAAGTATCACCACCACCAGCAGCAGTCTACAGAATTCGATTACCGCCATCATTACAGTGACCACGCAGTACAGGCGCAAGCACAGTGCACGAGTACCACATATTGGCACAAGGACAAAACATCCAGGTCCAAGTACTGTACCCGCTCCCAACCGCACCACAAGTCAAGAAGGAGAAGGAAAAAAAAAAAAAGGTTGCAGGACATTCATTCCCATTACAAAAAGCCACACCCATCCCCGTGCTGTACTTTAACGCACGCCTCTGCATCTCTTGAGTTAGTTCCTTGGTTATTTTTCCATCTCCTATCTGCTGTCTATCTCCAATCCTTCAAGGACACAACAACTTGCACAGTTAGTCTCCAACGACACAGGAAGCCAGACGATTTTGAAGAGAGTAAAGAAAGGGAAGAAAAAGAGGCGAAAATAAAACCCCCCCGAAGGAGAAAAAAAGGAAGGAAAAAAAAAAAAGGAAAACCACTCACACCACCCGATCATAGCTTTCGTCTTCTTCTCTCCCATATCCAGCCAGCTTCCTTCCGAATCTACCACTACATACCTTACCGTACTACGTTGCCCAGATTTCCACACCCCTTTCCTGCCCCTCCTTTCCCTTACCCCTTCAACCCCTCCATCGTCATCACACATCTCTTCTGTCCATGCACTAAAGTTTATATGACCGACTCTACATATTCACCTATTCGCAACTATCACTTATACCTCCGGATTGTGCCGGCATCAAAACCTCTCCCATCTGCCCTGCCTTGCGAGTGGTGCTCTCACCCTTCTGCGCTTCGTTCTGCGCAGCACTCGCTCACCCGAGTATTTTGGTCCAAAGGTTGGTTGTTTACCATTTCTTTCTTTTTTGGAACTGGATTCGCGGTCATGTGACCATGAGTGCTTGGATCAGCCTTTCTTTTTTTTTTCCTCTTCGTCCGTCCCAATCAGCTTCTCTAAGGGTCAAAATTTCTTCTTCCGCTCCTCGATGAACACCAGCAAAGCTAACTATTCTCAATAGCTACGTAAATGCCTTCAACCCCAGGCTCTACCGACCCACCTCAACTTCAGGACTCTACCAAGGTTCCTTTGGGCATCGCCGGCGTGTTCCGATCGTTGAGAAGATTAAACCCGGGGCCTCCAAACCCAGTCCCGGCGACCCCAGCGGCACCCCCGAGCAACGGCAATCGACCCGGAGAACATTTCAACGAAGAGGCAGTGGCCAGTGGGCAAGTCTTAGTAGACAAACTCAGGGCGAACAATTCCTTGAACGACCGTATCAGTGCGGCCGAAGCTCTAAGGACGATTGTTGCGGATTATCCGGCTTCAGCGGTTACGGAGATATGGACGAACGCGCAGGACTTAACCAACGAGGAGAATCCTCCAGAAGCTCGGCAGGCAGCTTTCAAGCTTCTTACTGCTTGTATCAAGCAGTACGAACCATCAGCCCTTGACCGAATCAAGCTCTACAGGACAGTGGCTCTTCATAGCTACCCAGAGGACTTCTTCCACCAGTTACAAGCGCTAATTGCGCTCACGAACGGTGGGAGGGACTTGTCTACATTTCAGAGGGAGATCGGGGGCTTGTTATCCAGGTGGCTAAGGACTTGGTTCAAAGAATCTACCATCATCCGTCAAACTCGCAAACGGGACAGAACCACCAGCGAGATTCTCTCGAGCGAAGAGTTTTGTTTAAAGGAACTATTTCAATTCACAACGGACATTATCAAGTTCAACTTCAAATCTTTCGAAGAGCGCGAGGTGAACCAGCTTCTCACCGATGTCCTCTCAATCTGCAGGAAGACGACCAGCAAGAAAGATATCGAATGCTCAATAGCCTTTATCGAAACTCTCATAGCGTACGGTTATGTTCCACGCCCTGCGCTTAAGCCCTGTATAGAAGTATTATGCGGTGCCTACGCTACACTGAGGGACCTTACTGATGCCACTTGGAATGCTGTCAGTAATCTCTGCAAGAGCTACATGGCTCATAACTCCATACTTGTTTTACGGGAGATCCTTGAGGCACCTGCCAATAATCCACCAGGGAGCAGCAACACAAATACTCTCAGGGGGGCTGTTTGGTTTTTAGAGAAGCTTTTGATAGCGAACGAGACGGACGGACTTCCTTCAGTTCAGTTTACCGTTGTCATGTCCGCCTTTCAATCCGCCCTCTCTGCCGACAGCATGCGTCTGGAATTGGAGATAAGCAGAGCCATTGCCGCCATCTTGGGTAGCAAAGATGTAGTATCACAGATTTCCTCTGACGAGTGGTCTGTTCCTCTCAGCATTCTCGTGCACTGCTCCCGTCGGGCAACAAGACTGAACCATGGGTCAACACGCGAAGGTCTAGAGTCTGACGATACGCCGCATCCATATGAAAACGACGGCGTGGGTGCAGCAATATCCCACGCTTTGACTCAGATCATTACGCTACTAGAGGTGGCCTGCCTAAATCCCGAGTTTGAGCAGACCGAGGAGGTGATGGGCTTCTTTACCAGAGTTCACTCGCATCTTCCGAATTCGGCGGCAGAACTGGTCATCAACTATTATTCCACGGAACACCTCTGCTATCCTTCCTGTGGGGAGTGGTTAGACAACTGTCGCCAGTTGCTTAACGCTTTCTTTAGGGCACGAACCAGGCCCCCTTCCATGCGAATCAGCGTCCTACACTTGATTAAAGGTGTTTACGAGACCATCAGAGATGTTTGTGAAGATGAAGTTTTGCACGCCCTGGTCGTTTCAGTACTTGAGGATTTTCAAAATGAGAAGGATTTAAAGGTGCTGGACGCACTGATCAAGACAGTGGTGGATATTTCCAGCCATACCAGTATGAAACTCTTTGAAATACTCTTGGCCCTATTTGTCGAATACATCGGCCTCGACGGGGGTCTGCCGGACCTACCGCCACCAGGGCAGGGAAGCGGAGCTAGCACAAAATCGTTAATATGCCCGACAGCCAATGCCAGGAGCTCACAAGGACCGCAAAAAAACATTGTCACTCGTGGCCTAGTGAGAATATTCATTAAGAATATGAATACCAATGCAGCCAAGTCAGTGCTGGTATACGAACAGCTTGTGAAGATCTCTGGGTCCGTCGACCTAGACCCCAGTGCCCGACTGACGGCAATGAGGCTTTTATTTCGCCTGAGGGCTGATTCCGAGAACGCCATTTTTATTATGGAAAACCCCGGGTCGGATTATTTAGCCTCGGTGCTCCATCGAATGACGAAAGTTGCTGATGAGACGGCCTCCATGGTCTCCAAAGGTGACGGAGAATCATCGTCTTCATCACGCTCCAATAGAAGCAACTCGGCATCTCAAACACCATTCCTCCTCAGAAACTCAAGCCGCCCCGCCGCCGAAAAACATGATCACCCCAAGCGAATGCCTCAGATTTGGTCATATCCGGAACCCAAAGCCCTTCCTGAGAAACCTATGCATCTTGCGAGCCCGGTCCTTGTCACCTTCTATGATCCACCTTTAGATTTTCCAAGCAGAGAAGGGCCTTCCCTAGACCCTCGCTTATGTATCAGAATGTCACTCTGGATGGAGAAAGTTATCCCAATTATACAACAGGGATGCGATTGGGAAATTTACAGCTACGTTCTCGTTCACCTCAGTTCACAATTGTCGAACAAGACCGCATTTAGGAATTGCAAGGCACATATAAAAATGCTGCGCAGCTACGTGTGTGACCAGTTACACACCAATCGAATACCCAATACGGATCTCTCCCCTGAGGTCAAGAAAGCAGATATTGCCGTCGTTCTGATAAACTTACTTACTACTCTAATCAGCTATAAGCAACACTTTGCGAAAAATGAAACCGAGGGGATTGTAAAGGCATTTCAGTTGGGATTGCACTCATGGCAGAGGACAGCTAAGCCATGCATACATGCGTTGTCAATATGTTGCTATGAGCTTTCAGGTTCAACAAGCAAATTCTTACCCGGGATTTTGACCAAGCTCTCGCAGATTATCACATCTTCCGCAGTCAGTGTACATATCCTCGAGTTCCTGTCCGCACTAGCCAAATTGCCAAAACTCTATAGCAATTTCACTGAGCCCGATTTCCGAAATATCTTTGGTATAGCCTTCCGATATATTCAGCACACAAAGGAAACAACAGCCCAGCAGCAGCTTATTAAAGTAACCCCTGCCAGCCGCCCCAGCCAAAGTCAAGCAAACCCTGCCGACCTCACCGCCCAAACCGAACAGCCTGACCTACCCCAATACGTCCTCACATTAGCTTACAACGTCCTAACAACATGGTTTCTTTCGCTGCGATTGCCTGAGCGACCAAAATACGTTTCCTGGATTACGCGAGGTCTCGTCTTACATGATCAATCGAACACCGTTGATGAACAAAGCCAGGCCTGTATCGATATGTTGCAAAGGTTCACCTTCTCGGACATTGACTTGAAGCCTCCAAATAAGATCGAAACCCAAAAATCAGGAACAGTATCAAAAAATTGGTTGCATAGCTCCTCTATCCTCTCTATACAGACAGCCCCTGATTCCGGTATCTCAAGGGTTGTCGTCAGGCGAGCAGTAAGTCTTTTGTTACCTTGGCGCCACTGAATACACTTTCCCCTAACTTTTTATGCGTAGTCTGGCACCAGTTATTACACCTTGAAGCCAGAATCCAGAGATCCACACAGCATGTTGCAGTCAAAATGGGCCAACATTCAGGAGGACGTTGACAGTCTTGCCTATGCGGCTACTGGTGTAGAACAGAAGCAAGATCGGGTCCTTCCAAGTCATTTCCTTTTACAAATAGCTGGGGGTCTCGGACCGTCGGAAGCTAGGCCCATCTTACTTCCGGAGGACGAAAAGACTCTCCGGGCACTAGACGTCTTTGACAGAATACCGGTTGTGGACTTCCACAAGATCGGAGTTGTTTATGTCGCCGCCGGTCAGACGGAGGAGAAAGACATACTATCGAATGCCATGGGCTCACCCGACTACACCGATTTTATCGACGGCCTTGGCGATCTTATTGCTCTGAAGGGTACGGATATCAACACCGGAGGCCTAGATCGCGAGAACAACCTTGATGGCGAGTTTGCTTTTTTCTGGAGCGACCGTATTACACAAATCATCTTTCATATCACGACAATGATGCCAATGGTGGATGGTGACCCCCAATGCACCATGAAAAAGCGACACATTGGCAACGATTTTGTCAACATCGTCTTCAACAACTCCGGGCTCCCCTGGAGGTTTGGAACGATACCCAGTCAGTTCAACTTCGTTAGCATAATCATCACGCCCGAGGCGCGCTCAGGGTTTGTGTCATCGCGTTTGCTGAGGAAGGGGTCTGGAGATAGGACATTTTATAGGGTTCAGATGGTGTGCAAGGAAGGGTTTTCGGAAATTAGTCCCGCTCAGGAGCCTAAAATCGTCTCGGAATCATCACTCCCGGCGTTCGTTCGTAATCTCGCACTCAACGCAAGTGTCTATTCATACGTCTACAATGAAGGCGGCGGAGAACATATCTCCAACTGGAGGCATCGTCTAAGGAGCATCGCCAAATTGAGAGAACGGACCTCCGCCGCGTCCCCGGGATTGGGCGGAAACGGTGGACCAATCGGCAGCGGTGGCGGCGGAACAACGAGCCCCGGGCAGAACTCGACTGCTCCAGGGTCAAGGCGTGTTTCGACGATGAGTGCACAGACTTCGGTGTCGGATCATAGCTATAGAAATTCGGCCCATATGAATGGTGACACAGATCAATCTGAAACAGAGGATCTGTTAATGAGCCTTGACTTTAGCAGATTCACTTAGCGCAACCCCAGCTCCTTGTTCTGCTCCATTCTCATTCTCCATTCCCTCTCTTTTTATTCTTTTCTCCCTTTTCAAATTCGAGTCCATAATTATTTTTTCTCCTTATCGTTTTTGGGTTGGGGGTCGGTGTCATCGATTTTTTCCACAACCATTTTTCCTAGGTCACGTCCCAAAAAAATTCGGGGATTCTTCAAAAAATCACAAAAGTTCTGCTTTTTCCTTCATTTCAGTTTTCTCTTACGCCTACAAACAAACCTGTACTATGTCCTTTTTTTATTTTTTTTTATATTTTTTCTTCCTCTGTTCACTCCGTGTTGTCTTGGCGATGGTGTTTTGGGTCATATGAAAGGTCGGTTGGTGGGAACAAAGCAAAATGGCGATTGATTGTCTATATCTTTCTTTTATGATACTACAGAATTTTTGCACGATCATGGGGGGGTTTTTTTTTTAATGGGATTGAGGTATTTGGGGGGGGGGAGCCGGAGGCTCGTTCTTTCCTTCTTTCTTTATACATATCATGAAGTCCATCCATTGAAACAAATGGATCAATGGGTCGGGCGATAGATGGTGAAATGAAACCTTTGGGTAGTCATGATATCATTATATACATACATACATAAGTTAGTTAAAGGCATCCCTTCCTACATTTTCATCAAATACAGTAACAACCTACACGCTATGGTCCAGCTTTCACGCTCCGTTGACACTACGCGCCCGCACAGGTGTGAGTACACTTACACTCGCATATAACAACCTACCATAAGTTCCGCAACATGTACAGTATCGCGCTCCCCTATGAGAAGCTCGCTGACCAGCCCCTGTCACA